GACTACGATATGAGACACTACTTTCACACGATTTTCGGCGACGGAGTCCAAGGATCCAGAGGTGTAGTTCACTAACCTGTCGGCGCTTATAGTCTTTAAACACTTTATGACTTTTGGTGTGAATTTTGCGGGATTCCTATCGTCATTACAACCCATTTGTTTAGACTGTTTGAGCCAATATTGGCTCATTTGGGAGGCATCTCCTACTGTGTCGCCCAACGCCGACCCCGACATCATTATAGCGTTTTTGAATAGATTGCGAGTTATGGGCGATAGGATTATAGCACTGGTAGTTATGCTGCCGGCGCTTTCGCCAAATACGGTAATCTGTTTGGGATCGCCACCAAAGTTCTGGATATTATCGTTGACCCATTTCAGTGGCAACACCTGATCCCAGAGACCGGCATTTCCGGGCCCGGCATCAGTTCCCGTGTATAGGAATCCAAAGCCATTTAATCTGTTATTTATTTTAAAAATTGATTTTTAATATAACTGTAATCTAAATGATTCAACACCTGATCCCAGAGACCGGCATTTCCGGGCCCGGCATCAGTTCCCGTGTATAGGAATCCAAAGCCATTTAATCTGTTATTTATTTTAAAAATTGATTTTTAATATAACTGTAATCTAAATGATCCTGGTGTAGTTCAGATAAATGTTTGCATTTATCTTATGATAAATTTTTATTTTAATAAAATTAATATAATTTATTAATTGATTAATAAAATAAAAGGTTGTTCAAAATCCTGTGTTAAAAATTTTTAACTCATTTAGTAATGTTTTATTTAGTAATGAATTAATTCTTACCTATAATTCAATGTAACGACAATCACATCGCCTTTTGAGGCCAATACCTCTCCGTTATAATGATATTCATTGGACGACCCTATTATGAAAGCCCCTCCGTGTATAAAAAACATCACAGGCTTTAACCGATTCGATGATACCTTTCCTGCCGGTGACCATATGTTTAGGTAAAGACAATCTTCGCTGAAATTTTTGTTTTGCATGAATGGGGCCCAGACTGGCAGTTGAGTGCAAGGGTTGGGCCACTTGTCGGCCACCAATGGTTG